CTATGTATGGCTATGTAGGGCTGTGTAGGATTATGTAGGATTATGTACACTGCTTCTAGTAACTAACGGGGAACCACTATATGATGCTTACACCACGTACCTACCCGCCTTCCCCGACAATTTACATATATTCTAAAACATTTTCGGCTGTCTAAACAAAAAGAGAGAATGAATAAAAATAAGCCTAAAAGAAATAGCTGCGTTGACCAGAAATCTGCTGAAATCAAGTTAGCACCCTTCTCTGTTGGAAAGCTACCCTTCCTGCACGCTTATTCCACTTGATAAAAACCTGGGAATTCGACCAATAGGAATCAGAGAGGTTTCGAGACAAATAATTAGCAAGACCATATCCACCTTCTTAAAGGAGGAGATCAAGCTGGCAGCTTGTCCCCTGCAGGTTTGTGATGGCCACAGTGCGGGTACCGAGGCCATGGCCCAGATTTTTGATGATCATGGTACAGACGGAATCCTGTTGGTTGACTGCAACATCCAAATTACTTGCCCTGAAATGTCCATATCATCAACACGTCAATGACACCTAGGAGAAGTCATTGGATCCCAGGAGTACAAAGACCAATAATGTATTGGAAAAGTTCAGGGATGGAGGGAAAGCATCGAGTTGCTGGCTGAGATCGTAAAGAGTCAACCCCATGCCGCCTACGCAAAGGGCGACAAATCGAAATTTGCATATTTTATGCATAAAATTGACTCATTTAAAGACTAGGTGGAACCAACTGATGAAGCGATCAACGGTATTTTACTTCCAGTTCATTTTGGTCAGAAGAAACCGCTCCCTGATGAGTTGCAAGAACTCTTCACAAGGAGGTCTGGGTATACCAGACCTGAAAGCTGAAGCCTCACAGCAATACGTTGCCTCAAAGTTAATAACAGCACTGTGTAGCAGCTAGACTTTCTAAGGTCAACACTGCAGGCCAGAGACAAGGGTGCAAGGGTGGCTCAACTCCGTTGCCCTTGAAGAGCAGGACCTGTGGTGTAAGAAGAAGGGTTTTGTTTCACAAAGACATGATGGCATCCAGAACCTTCTCACATCTTTGCTCAGCAAAGTCTGCAAGGATGTCGAGGTAGAGCCCCACCTCCTACCGATGGACATTGACGTATTCAACCTAAGCTCCGCGGTCTCAAGTCCTGAGGCTAGACAGGACATAAAGGCAGGAAGTTTCTGGTCACGAGGAGAAACATAATTATTCCATGTATGTTATGCATCTGAACTCAACGTGTAAGCCGAACAAATCCAAAGAATCCATCTTCGTGGAGCAAAGAGAAGAAAGGGAAGTACCAACAAAAAGTCATGGTCGTGGGAATGGGATCTTTCCTCCTCCCCCCTCCCCCCCGTGGTTTTTGGTACAAACGGAGGAATGGGGAAAAAAATGCAAACTTCTTCTGAGCAACCTAGCGGACAAACTTTCCCGAAACAACGGCGAGTCGTATGCCAGTGCCATATCTTGGCTTGAAACATGCATATCTTTTGAAATTTTAAAATCTCTCCACACATGTTTACGAGGGTCCAGAAGGCCCTTTTCACAAGAATGCTGACTTTTTAGCTGATTTTAGTGTTAATGCCAGGAATGAGGACATTTTAAAATTAGTTTTAGTATGTTTTTTTAGGGTAGTTTTAGTGGACAGTATTTTTATTAGTTGGTTATAGTTTTTTTAGTAGACCGTGTATTTTATTTAGGATGTCTCTTTAAATGTTATATGTTGTTTTTATCATTGCAATGACAATAAAGGCCTTTTAAAACAAATAATCGACAATAAATGTCGTGGCTTTTAAACAGGAAGTAAACACGGAATATTTAGTAACAGAAGATCAGGTGATTCGGTGAGTGGAGGTTGGGGGGGCGGGGGTGGGGGGGAGGTGGTGTCTGTATACAAGCAATAGTGTTTCTCAGTTTTTGCCTTAGGGAGACAAAACCAAAAATGTAAATATCTACTTTTTAGTTATCCTTTGTGTTGCTTATTTTTATTCATTCTCTCTTCCAGTTTGGACAACCGAAAATTGTCTTAAAAGATTTATGTAAATTGCCGGGGAAGGCGCGGGAAATTCACCCCTCTCGCTGATCAAAACAGTGCGGGCTCTTTCTTTTGTCACGTAATACTTGGTTGTAAATCATCTTGATTGAGAGTGACAGAGATCTTCGAACAACTTGTATTTGAAAAAAAATGAAGATAGGAGGAGATAAATATAGTTATAGAGACAAGCAGGACCCTCTGAAAGCCTTTGGGAGGCAAAGAAGTGGATTGTAAAGAAATATTGTCTGGTCACGCAGCATATATTATAGTTTGGCGTAGGACAACGGCGGTTAGTAAAACTAACACTATTCTTCTTTGTAATACTATTCTTTTTCTGAGGTTGTAGCCTAAACTTCATGAACTTTTTAAGGGCGTAATTTCTTTATCGCTAGAGGGAAGTATTTTAATCATTGAATGTTGTTTTTAGATGTACGAGTTGACATTGCTTTTATGACTGGCATATAGTGGGGTGATTCAAAGCTTGTCAACAACCGCGCACCATGTGACCTTGAAATCTCCCCAGGAAATTAAAAACAGCTTGGTCTTGTCACAGTAAAGACCACAACACTTGTTGAATGAAGGACTTCTGTATAGTTTAACTTTTAAGAAGAATAATCTCTGATTTTGTGAGAAAATCAAAACGAGGTCACAAACATTACGATTTTGCCTGCGATATTTTGGTGACATACATCACTAATCAGTGTGAAATCTTTGATTTTCTTGCAAAATCTCGAACGTTTTAAGCATGCATTGAATTCCTCAATTATTATTCTTGAATAACGGGCTGGAAAGTGTCGGTTTAGTAACTTCAGCGGCCGTTAATTGCTGAATTATTGGACAGGTGAAGTGGAAATAAGCTTGATTTAGGGGTAGTTTTCAAGTGGCACCTGACGCCCAAAAAAGGCAGAGCCCAGAAATGTTTTTTATGTTTATTATAGACCAAAGGGTTGGTAAACAGGGAATAGCAAAATTATTGTCAAAGCTTTCTGGCAAGGAGAGATATTTGATCTCAAAATCAGCAAGTATTTGAATGGCTAAAAAGGTGGTCCCATATTCAAGGCCGGTGATTGACAAGCTGTCAATCAAATTGACTGAAACTTACATCCTTGCATTGGTCAAAGATGTATCAACATATATACAAACCTTCATAGTCAAGGGTTAAAAGCAGTTGTCCTGAGAGCTTTCTACTTTTGCAGATTATTAATGCACTTTTTTTGGCAAAAAATCTAATTAAACCAGTTGGCTGGGCTATCTCTCACCATAAAGATCCAAAATGCGAACCAGTTTGTCATTTTGAGTTTTGGGGTAGACCCTTTAAACTAGCCAAGTTTCACTGAAATCGGAGAGATAGCATGTAGCACACCTGCCTGGTGCACTCATGGACTCACTCTTAAGGCCATCGGGTTCAAGCTTTGATGGATTTTTTTTGTTTTTCGACTTGCAGGTTCTTTCCCCATTTTATTGCCTTTGGTTAAAGGCCGTCGGAGTCAGGCTTTGACGGTTTTTTTTGTTTTTCGACTTGCAGCTTTTTTTGTCATTTTATTGCCTTGGGTTTGAGGCGGTCGGGTTCAGGCTGTGATGGATTTTTTTTTCTTTTTCGACTAGCACCCTCTTTTTCCGTTTTATTGCCTTTGGTTTAAGGCCATCGGGTTCAGGCTTTGATGGATTTTCTTTGTTTTTTGACTTGCAGCTTCTTTTTCCATTTATTGCGTTTGGTTTAAGGCCGTCGGGTTTAGGCTTTGATGGATTTTTTTTGTTTTTCGACTTGCAGCTTTTTTTCCCATTGTATTGCCTTTGGTTTAAGGCCGTCGGGTTCTAGCTTTGATAGATTTTGTTTGTTTTTCGACTAGCACCTTGTTTTCCCGTTTTATTGCCTTTGCTTTAAGGTCGTCGGGTTAAGGCTTTGATGGATTTTTTTTGTTTTTCGACTTGCAGCTTCTTTTCCCATTTTATTGCCGTTGGTTTAAGGCGGTCGGGTTCAGGCTTTGATGGTTTTTTTTTGTTTTTCGACTTTCAGCTTCTTTTGCCATTTTATTGCGTTTGCTTTAAGGCCGTCCCGTTCAAGCTTTGATGGATTTTTTTGGTTTTTCGACTAGCACCTTCTTTTCTTGTTTTATTGCCTTTGGTCTAAGGCCGTCGAGTTTAGGCTTTGACGGTAAATTTAAGGTGTTTTTCGACTAGCACCTTCTTTTCTCGTTTTATTGCCTTTGGTTTAAGACCGTCGGGTTCCGGTTTTGATGGATTTTTTTTGTTTTTTAACTAGCACCTTCTTTTCCAGTTTTATTGCTTTTGGTTTAAGTCCGTCGGGTTCAGGCAGTGATGGATTTTTTTTGTTTTTCGACTTGCAGCTTCTGTTCCCATTTTATTGGCTTTGGTTTAAGGCCATCGGGTTCTTTCCTTGATTGATTTTTTTTGTTTTTCGACTTGCCGCTTTTTTCCCATTTTATTGGCTTTGGCTTAAGGCCGCCGGGTTCAGGCCTTGATGGATGTTTTTTTGTTTTTCGACTTGCAGCTTCTTTTCCCATTTTATTGCCTTTGGTTAAAGGTCGTCGGGTTCAGGCTTTGATGGATTTTTTTTTGTTTTCGACTTGCAGCTTCTTTTTCCAGTTTATTGCCTTTGGTTTCAGGCCGTCGGGTTCTAGCTTTGATAGATTTTGTTTGTTTTTCGACTTGCACCTTCTTTTCCCGTTTTATTGCCTTTGCTTTAAGGCCGTCGGGTTCAGCCTTTGACGGTTTTTTTTTCTTTTTTGATTTGTAGCTTCTTTTTCCATTTTATTGTCTTTGGTTTAAGGCCGTCGGGTTCTTTCCTTGATGGATTTTTTTTTTTGTTTTTTGACTTGCAGCTTCTTTTCCCATTTTATTGGCTTTGGTGAAAAGCCGTCGGGTTCAAGCTTTGATGGATTTTTTTTGTTTTTCGACTAGCACCTTCTTTTCTTGTTGTATTGCTTTTGGTTTAAGGACGTCGGGTTCAGGCTTTGTTAGTTTTTTTTTCTTTTTCCGCTAGCACCTTCTTTTCCCGTTTTATTTCCTTTGGTTTAAAGCAGTCGGGTTCTCTCTTTGATGCATTCTTTTTGTTTTTCTACTTGCAGCTTCTTTTCCCATTTTATTGCCTTTGCTTTAAGGCCGTCGGCTTCAGGCTTTGATGGATCGTTTTTGTTTTTCGACTTGCAGCTTCTTTTCCCATTTTATTGCCTTTCGTTAAAGGCCGTCGGGTTGAGATTTTGCCGTTTTTTTTTTGTTTTTCGACTAGCACCTTCTTTTCTCGTTTTATTGCCTTTGGTTTAAGGCCATCGGGTTCAGACTTTGATGGTTTTTTTTGTTTTTCGACTTGTAGCTTCTTCTCCCATTTTATTGGCTTCGGTTAAAGGCCGTCGGGTTTAGGCTTTGATGGATTTCTTCTGTTTTTCGACTTGCAGCGTCTTTTCCCATTTTATTGGCTTTGGTTAAAAGCCGTCGGGTTAAGGCTTTGATTGATTTTTTTTTCTTTTTTTTTTTGACATGCAGCTTCTTTTCCCATTTTATTGGCTATAGTTTAAGGCCTTCGGGTTCTTTCCTTGATGGATTTTTTTTGTTTTTCCACTTGCAGCTTCTTTTCCGGTTTTATTCGCTTTGGTTTAAGGCCATCGGGTTCAAGCTTTGATGGATTTTTTTTGTTTTTTGACTTGCAGGTTCTTTCCCCATTTTATTGCCTTTGGTTAAAGGCCGTCGGAGTCAGGCTTTGACGGTTTTTTTTTGTTTTTCGACTTGCAGCTTTTTTTGCCATTTTATTGCCTTTCGTTTTAGGCCGTCAGGCTCGGGCTTTGATGGGTTTTTTTTAGTTTTTCGACATGCAGGTTCTTTTCCCATTTTATTGCCTTTGGTTTAAGGCATTCGGGTTTAGGCTTTTATGGATTTTTTTTCTGTTTGCGACTTCCTGCTTCCTTTTCCACTTTGTTCCGTTTAGTTTTAGGCCGTCGGGTTCAGGCTTTGATGGATTTTTTTTTGTTTTTCGACTTGCAGCTTTTTTATCCATTTTATTGCCTTTGGTTTTAGAGCCGTCGGGTTTAGGCTTTGATGGATTTTTTTTTTGTTTTTTGACTTGCACCTTCTTTATCCATTTTATTGCCTTTGGTTTAAGGTCGTCGGGTTCAGGCTTTGATGGGTTTTTTTTAGTTTTTCGACTTGCAGCTTCTTTTTGTTTTATTTTTTTGCCTTTGGTTTAAGGCCGTCGGGTTCAGGCTTTGATGGACTTTTTTTCTTTTTCGACTTGCAGCTTCTTTTTCCATTTTATTGGCTTTGGTATAAGGCCGTCGGGTTCAGGCTTTCATGGATTTTTTTTGTTTTTCGACTTGCAGCTTAATTTTCCATTTTATTGTTTTTTGTTTAAGGCCGTCGGGTTTTGGCTTTGATGGATTTTTGTTGTTTTTTGGAATTGCAGCTTCTTCTCCCATTTTATTGCCTT